AAAAAAAAAAAAAAAAAAAAAAACTTTCAGTACATTCCTTAACCACAAAGGATACCTCATCCATTGTGTGCCAAATGCCTTTGCAAAACCAGATATTACTTTGGTAACGTAGCAGTGACATCATCCCTGTGCTGTACAGAGAGCAGAGATGTGGGAGGGGCCCAGCAGACTCCACCCACTACAGGAGAGGGCAGTACAAGACCAGTCACCCTACTCAAGGAGAGAGAGTAGTCTTTATTATGGGAAGCTCCTGCACAAAGTTTCACACTGGATTACTGCACAGATCTGGAAGAAATACACAATGTATACCAAGAGATTCATGTAAGAATACACAAGATCTTTGCTTATCCCAGCGTTCAGCTTTAACAACCAGAGAATTGTTATAGTTCCATGGTCAGTGCGGAATAACCTTTGACTTGTCAGCCATCTGTATGAAGGGTTTGGCTTGTCATTGACAGAATGACTAACCAGAGGTCACACACTGTCAATGTTACAAGCCTATAAAACAGGGTACAATAAAGTAACTGGGAGTACAGCTCAATGCGTTCTGTTCCTCTGGAAAGACAGACGTTGTATCAATGAAATCAATGCTTCTGATCAGTGTGATATCGATGTATTTTACACTCACGGTCACTTCCAACAACAACAATATGCGCACTAGCCCAGAGAAGCGATCTTTACATCACAGCACCTCTTACAGATCCTCACCTCACTGCTCTGAACGGTGAGAGCCGCAGACAGTTCGTTACATACAATAAGGAAGCAGCCATAGATCCACACAAAGGTGCTGGAGTTCGGTATTCGGTGAGTGACAGGTTGGGAGCCCCGCCTCTTCCCCTTCGGCTCCCACTCAGCACTGATATAACATGTAGCCAAGTAAAGTGCTTTCTGATTGGATAACGCTCTGGCTAGCAGCAGTCGCATTGTAAATAATATAGCTTGTGAAGTAGCTCCCTCTGCTGGTAGAACAAGTGCTCTACACCTATTTACACCTCTATAAACAGCTTTAAGGTCAGAGAACCCCAATCAGGGGATCGAAACTGAAGCAGAGAAAATCTGGAGCAGCTGTGCAGGGCAACCAATTCAATTCTATTACTATCATTTTCAAAGTTTAACTGAACAAATGGAAGAGAGAAGCTGATTAGTTACTATGGGGATCTGCTCCAGATTCTGGCTGCTCCAGTTTTGATAAATCCCCCCTAGTATATTTCTGACATATAAAATACATTGGGGTCTATTCACTAAGCTGCCGTAGGCAGCCGAGTGAAAGGCCGACCTGAAGTGAAGTGAGCCAAACGTTGTTCGGCTATTCACTTCAGGCTGGTACGGCTGATTTCAGCTCATCGGGTGGCTTCATGGGAGCGGGAGACTCCCGGAGCGCCCGGGAGTGTTTGCTGTCTGGAGATTAGTGTCCCTGGTTAGCTGGTAACCAGGGACGCTGATCTCTCTGCAAGTGGCCGGAGCCAGCCATAAGATCACGGCTGGCTCCGCCCAGCTGTCAGAAGCAGGCTGTCAGCCGGCCGCTCGAGGCATATGCCTTCGGCTCGACTGAGCCGCTCGGCTAAGTTTGGGAGCTGTACGGGCTATTGTGAATAGCCCGTACAGCAGCCCTTCGTTTCAACTGAACCGAAGGGGTCCTGGGGCCGAAGCTAGCCAAAGGATCGGCCGAAGCTACGGCTAGATCCTTTGGCTGCTTCGTGAATAGACCCCATTAAAGTGTATGTAAAGCAGGACATTCAATTGGTAATTGTTCTGAGGGAAGGAATATTCACTTGCTGGCTGGGGATTAGGTGACAGCAGATGCCGGGCTGCGCTGTCAGCAGCTCTGTCTGGCATCCTGCCCTGCCCAGCTCAATGATGTCACTCGTTCCCAGGAGCTGGGCGGGATGCCAGACAGAGCATCACAGGTTGCTAAGAGCCCTTAGCAATCTGGGACACTGTGGTCTCCTCCCCAATGAGATGCCACCTGCGGCAACCACCTCAGTAGTGATGGGCCGAACACACCTGAGTTCGGTTCCATTTGGAACTTTACGCTAAGGGGGCTGAGGTGGTACTAAAAGTGTTAAGGGTACATATGTGAGGGGTGTGTATATGTGTATATATATATATATATATAAGCTAGATAAGGATAAACTAAACTCCAAGGAAGTGTATAATTTAACCACAAGGCGCTATATAAACCAATACTAGGGCGATTGGGTAAACAAACCACAGGGTGCAAACACAACTTAAATTAACCCTTAACCCTAGGGCACTAGTACAATCAAATCTAACCAGAGGCGATAGCGCTATTTAATTTAATTTAACTTAAATTCATTTAGTTTAGTATAATTTAATCACAGAGTATTGATTAAATTAACTACAGGGCGCAAATAACATTAATATTATCATTATTATTATTAATATTGCCAATTAACCACATTTAACCACAGGGCGGTAGTATAATTACACCAAAGGACGATAGTAAATTTAATGTAATTTAATCTAACTCATCAAAAACTTTATTAAGCATGCCAATTGTGAACCACTAAACCTTAAATAAATAGACAAACACATAAAAAATAAAATTAATCTAGATTTATTGGTGGTCAGTGTAGAAACCTCCTTACATTGGTGGTTAGTGTAGGAACTTCCTTACATTGGTGGTCAGTGTAGAGACCTCTTTAAAGGAGAACTATGAGTGATTTTCACTAAGCCTCATAATCTGAGCCGACCTGTGGCAATGAAACTGTCACAGGTCGGCTCAGTAGATCGGGAAGTGAGCGAACACATACCGGCGCTCGCTCATTTCTCGGTCTATCCGTGCAGAGCCGTGACTGTCACTCACGGCTCCCTGCAGGGATTCACCCCCCCATCCTGCGTCCGATCCTCCAGCGCTGACTGGCGGAACGGACAGGGGAGGGGGCGGGTACAGCTGGCTCTGCCTCTAGATAGGCAGAGCCAGCTGTCACTCACGCAGCTGCGTGGATCCAGATTGTCGGAATCCGTTCCGGCTGGGGCGTCTCAGTATACTGAGCTTAGGGTGACGGGAGGACGCTAGTTTGTGTCCTCCCGTTACCCTTAGAACTATGGGGAAAAGCCCTAACCCCGTAGTTCTCCTTTTAAATTGGTGGCCAGTGTAGAATCCCCCATAACATTGGTTGTCAGTGTGGAATCCCCCATTACATTGGTGGTCAGTGTAGAATCCCCCATAACATTGGTGGCTATTGAGAAGAATGCTTCTTACATTGGTGGTTAATGGTTATTGTTAAAAATGCTCCTTACAGTGGTGGCCAGTGGAAACAACACCCCTTACATTGATGGTCAGTGATAGAAGGGCCCTAGTACACTGGTGGTCAGTGTGTTGAATGCTCCTTACATTGATGGTCAGCGATAAATGGGCCCTAGTACACTGGTTACATTGGTGGTCAGTGTAGAATCCCCCATAACATTGGTGGTCAGTGTAGAATCCCCCATAACATTGGTGGTCAGTGTAGAATCCCCCATAACATTGGTGGTCAGTGTAGAATCCCCCATAACATTGGTTGTCAGTGTAGAATCCCCCATTACATTGGTGGTCAGTGTAGAAACCCCCATTACACGCATGTAAAAGATTTCCAGCTTTGCTATACGTGATTCAGAATTCTCACTCACAGTGTAATGCCTCCTATTACACAGGATTGCTGCCACCTAAAAACCACCAACCCACCAGCAGCCACAAGAGAAGTGGCAGCACTCAGCAGAACTGTCAGTGTCACAGGATGCCAAATAAGTCTGTAGAGTAATTGGAGTTCATCTCTGTATTGCCTGCCAGAGCTGTTGGGTTGCCGCACTCTAACTGGTCTGTATGGACTGAGAGCCCAGTCACACCATATCCAGTGCGTTCTAGTGCGGTTCAAGGCCGGAATGCACTGGATTGTATAGACCAAGCCAGGGCGGGTGGGGGCATGTCGGTTTCATTCAAGTCAATGGCACTGCAGACACACCCCCACCCGCAGTGCGATCGCTCGCACTGGAACCCGAAGTACAGGAATGCCCTCCGTTCCAGTGCGAGCTGAAAAAATTGTGAATGCAGAACGCTGCCTGGCTCGATCTATGCGATCCAGTGCGTTGCAGGCTCAAACCGCGCCAGAATGCAGTGGATATGGTGTGCCTGGAGTAGATTTCTTTTCTTTATCCCTATGGGTTCACCCTACTCACAGTAAACAGCATAGATGGAGGAATCTGCACAGCCGGATATTGCATTCAGACAGCCACATCACCCGCAGCTGTCTGAATACCTGCACAGGTGATGCGGCAGCATTCAATTGGATGCAGTCACCATTTGGCCGATAATATTGTACCTGGCTCCTTCGATTTTGAAATCTGACTTTTGTGGAGTCCGGTGGTGCTGACTAGTGATGAGCCGAACACCCCCGTGTTCGGTTCTAACTCGAACTTTCGAACATGGAAAAAGTTCTAACTCGAACTTAGAACTCAATGCAAGTCTATGGGGGTAGGATTCAGAAAATTTAAATGTCCCCATTTTGAAGCCTTATATGCAATTTATTGGCCATAAAAAGTGTATGGGGATCCGGGTACTACGCTGGGGGACATGTATCAATGAAAAAAAACACTTTTAAAAAATAAAATTTTTAAAGGAGCAGTGATTTAACATCACTTAAAATGAAACATTAAAAATTAAAAATTCCTTTAAATATGGTGCCAGGGGGGTCCCCTTTCACTGACCGTAAAGTGGCGCATCTGTATGATGTATAGAACCTGCTGAAGCAAAAATGACATTTATATACATTTTATTGATATTTATATAGAACTCTAATATATACAGAAGTCTGATTTTATATATATATATATATATAATATCAGACTTCTGTATATATTAGAGTTCTATATAAATATCAATAAAATGTATATAAATGTCATTTTTGCTTCAGCAGGTTCTATACATCATACAGATGCGCCACTTTACGGTCAGTGAAAGGGGACCCCCCAGGCACCATACTTAAAGGAATTTTTTATTTTTAATGTTTCATTTTAAGTGATGTTAAATCACTGCTCCTTTAAAAATTGTATTTTTTAAAAGTGTTTTTTTCATTGATACATGTCCCCCAGGGCAGTACCCGGATCCCCATACACTTTTTATGGCCAATTAATTGCATATAAGGCTTCAAAATGGGGACATTTAATTTTCTGAGTTCTACCCCCATAGACTTGCATTGAGTTCTAAGTTCGAGTTAGAACTTTTTCCATGTTCGAAAGTTCGAGTTAGAACCGGACACGGGGGTGTTCGGCTCATCACTAGTCACATGCACCCAATGACCACTTTTTGTCATAAATTCCTGCCACTGCTTCAGATTTGCTGCAGGCCTCTTGGTAGCCTCTCTGACCAGTTTCCTCCTGGCTCTTTCAACCAGTTTGGAGCAACTTCCTGATCCAGGCAGTGTCTATATTTATACCAAATACCTTCCCCTTCTTAATAATAGACTTCACTATGCTTCTAGGGATTGACAAAGCCTTTGAAATGTTTTTTGTATCAATCTCCTGACTTACACAACTTTATCCTGGATATCTTTTGACAGTGCCTTGCCCCCTTAGTTGATTGTTTCATTTGCACTACCAGATACTGAAATGCACCAGGAAAGCTTTCATGCCGGGCTAATCAAAATTACCACAGCTGATCACAGTTGTAAGTGAAATGGCTTTGTGTGCTATAGAGAAGTTGATTAGCTACACCTGACTGAGTTTACTAGTCATTTTTATGAGTGGGTGATCCTTTTTACAACTCCAGTGATCCTGTTT